CTCACTAGTATTTTAGAGCAAATCTGAAATGTACCATTTCATCCCTAAGTACTTGTTTAAAGCACAATAACTCCTTTGTTAAACATCAAGCCATTATTTGTTTAATTAGCATTTCATATTATGGTCTGCTATCCAGTAAGCGTTTACATTTTTCCAGTTGTCTACCTCACTCCCCATCAGTTTGTCCAAGTCACAGTCCAGATTTACACCTGTTAAATTTGGTTGACGTCTTTTGGATTTCTTTTAAGTTCTTTATCTCCGCTATTTTTTTCCTTGTATTTTACTTGACGAATAAGTCATTTGTCCTGGAAAGTTTCCACAGCCTGGATTTTGCTTTATCCATACCTGTGATGTCCTTTAATAAGCACGTATTTAAATCTACAACCGTTTTCAAGATTCAGGTTCTACTTTTTAGCAAGAATACTTCATGGGTACTGTGTATTTCATACTGCATTACATCTGGAGTTAGATAAGATCTTGTCTTTCTTTGTGGACCTTTTTTGTACAAATAGCACCACAGTGTAACCAAGTAATTGACCAGGGAATTACAGAAGGATGCCAGCTAATAACTGCAGAAGGAATGATAAAGTATCACCTTTTGGCAACTCCTAATGAAATAATGGATCCTGGCAATGATCTCTAGTGGCTGTTAACATCAGAAAAAGCGAGACAGCCAGACAATGTGTGCCTCTTGATGGAAGCCCCCATACCACTTATCCAGTATTCTTGGAGTAATGGGGATGGGGGGGGCGAGTAGAATTGAAAAAAGATTCCCCATGAGTTGATAATTGCTGAAGCTCAGTGATGGGTATGTGGCGATGCATTATACTAATCTCTCTATTTCAGTATGTGTTTGAAGTTTTTCATAATAAAGCATTTTTTAAAAAGACTGGCCAGTTGACTAGTGAGTTCAGGTCAGCCTGATCCAATCAATTATAGTTCTCCATTAGCCTTTCACTAAGTGGTTCTTGAATCTGACTTCATGTTAGAATCACAGGGAAGGCTTTTTTCCTCCTCCTTTTTAAATTTTTAATATTAAAATGACATGTCTCATTTGCAGACTTTCTTGTCTAATTGTTCTGGGATGGAGCCCAATCATGGATGTGTTTTAAAAGCTCCACCAGGTGATTTCGATTATGCTCTCAGGGTTATATACCACACTGGTCTAGATCCATTATTTGTTAGGGATGGCAAAGTGAATAGTATTCCATCTGCATTTAGCTTTTGCAAATTTTAACTTTCTACATTCTGTTTATTCTCACCTTTCTTGCACACTGTAATCCAATAGGGAAGCCTCTGCAAATTAAGTTTCTAAATTATCGAAGGAGAGTTGATCTTGGAGGTAAAAATATAGAGTAACACATAGAAAGATAGCAATAACCCCAACTAAGGCTTGTGTGTAGGAAAGAGATGTACCACCTTATACTTGAAAATTGTGTGTGTGGGGGCCAAGTTGATGGTGATGTGTAGTTAGAAAAACATGTTTGGCTTTATGACACTTTTAAAAAAAATCAGTATAAAAAATTAATACATTTAATTAAATGGATGAAATGTTTGTTGTTGGAATCTTAAGACCCAAAGATTTAAAAGAAAAATAATAATTCCCCTCCTGACCTCCTGCAGATTCCTTTAATCACCCTTGAGATAGCCAATATTAACAGTATGCACTGGGCCCAGTGGCCGATACCCGTAATCCTAGCACTCAGAGGCTGAGGCAGGTGGATTGCTAGAGTTTAGGAGCTCGAGACCAGCCAGAGCAAGAGCAAGACTCTGTCTCTACTAAAAATAGAAAAATCAGCTGGGTGTCATGGTGATGGGAGCCTGTAGTCCCAGCTACTTGGGAGGCTCAGGCAAGAGAGTTTCTGTGAACTAAGACACCACAGCACTGTAGCATGGGTAATAGAGTGAAACTCTGTCTTAAGAAACAAAAAATCACCAAAAAACAGTAAGGTGTGTATCCTTCCATAACAGACTTTGTCTTATTTATTTATTTTTAGAATTTCTTTATTTTCTTTATTTATTTTTGCAGTTTTGGCCAGGGCTGGGCTTGAACCTGCCTCCCCTGGTATATGGGGCCGGCGCCCTACTCCTTGAGCCACAGACGCCACCCCAGACTTTGTCTTATATAAATAAAGAAGTTTGGGGCATTATTGTTATAAAAGTGAGATCCTACCATAGCTATCAGTAACTTTTCTCACTGTCATCCCTCTAGGACAATAGTTAACAGACTGACTATTAGCTGCAAATAAATCATTAATAGAATAATAGTATGAACATATAATGTCCAACCATTTCCTTGTTGACATAGTCAAATTGTTCACCTTAAAAGCACCACAATAAACAAACTTATACTTAGATCCTTTAACTCTGTAGGGTAGATTCCCCAACTGGGACTGCTGGGTTAAAGCATTGTTACTGGTAATCTATCTCACTATTTTCCTGAAGTATAGTAGCGATTCGTACCTCCATCACCAGGAATTTTATGAGGGTGCCTATTTGCCTTCATCCTGGTCAGCACTAGCTAGCATTGCTTCCTCAATATTTGCCAACTGATATGCGGAAAATGGTCTCTTTTTTCTTTAACTTGCATTCCACTAATTACCTGGAGACTGAGCATTTTGTATTTACTTTGTATTTTTATGGATGCATAACAGTTGTCTGCATACTTTTCACGTCTACTGGCCAGTTCGATTCCTCCCGTGATTCCTGTTATCCTTTGCCTATTTTTCTGTTGTGTCAGCATTTTTATTTTTTGAATGCACTGGAGTAAACTTTTCTCTTAGGGACGTTTAGCCTTTTGTCATAAGGGACGCAAGCCATTTTCTCCAGGTGCTTTCGGTCCTTTGACTTCATAAGTCTTTTGATGCATAAAAGTTTTTATGTGGTGAAAATGCCTGTTATTTTTAATTTCCAGGTTTCCTGTCTTGCCATTAAGGGATTTCTCATCCTCAAAGTTAAACATGTACAAATTTTCCTAATGTTTTGGACATATTTTATTGCATTTTTGGCATTTAAATTTCAAATCCCCGTGGAATGTATTTTTGTTTACAATTCAAAGTGACCATCTTGCTTTGCTTTCTTCTGCAAGAATAGCCCGATTATGTCAGTGCTGTTCATTAAATAAACCACCTTTTTTATACTTTTGTTGTTTACTTATTGATTCCCATACATACTTAGCTTATTTCTGGATTCTCCTTTCCCTTTCTCTATTTTTGTGCCAGTATGATTCTGTTCTAATTACATCTGATTAATGTAGAAAAGGTGAATATCTAGAAATATGTAGCGTATATACAGCATTCTTGTTATTTATGGATCATTCCGAGAAAGGGCTGATCACTACTTAACTGCCTTTTGTAATTTTCTTGTCCATTCTCAGACATGTTTTTTTCTTCCATGTGATCTTTGGATTGTTTTTTGTTCTGAGAGAAATCCCACTGGAAGTCTAATAGGATCTGCACCAAATATATTGACATTAGTTTTGGAAGATAAACATTTCCATGATATCAAGGAACAGAATGTGTCTCTCCATTATAAGTTGGTTTATTTATTTAATGCTCTTGTGAATGAGATTTCATTTTTGTTATCTGGTGATCACTAAGGCTGAGAAAAATTATTGAAACTTCTGTATGTTTATCTTATATTCAGCTCTGTGTCAGATATTCTTATTACAGTAGTTTTTCTTAAAATTACTGTGTTTTCCTCCGTGGTATCAGTGTGGATAATCCGCAGTTGGTTAGGTTTCATTTCAGTCTCATTTATTTTATTTAATACATATCTTCTTCCTGATCAGTTAAAATAGCAGTTCCAAGTCCTGCCCAGTCATGGACCCTGACAGGTAGGGAGTGAGAAGTTTGCTCAGCACTGTTAGGAAATACCAGCATTACTGTAGAGCAGTGATTTTCATTTTTTACTCTTTTTTTTTTTAATCAACATTATTTAAGTGTGCCGTGGAAGTGTAACTATAGGATCAAGTGTGCTGTGAGATAAAAAGGGTTGAAAAACACTGCTGTAAAAAAAGAAAAAGAAAAACACTGCTGTAGGGTATATACAGCATTCTTGTTATTTATGGATCATTCAGAGAAAGGGCTGATCACATGGGCACCAGGGACACCAGTTGGTAAGCATCGTTAAATACCATCTCTTGTCCAGAATCTCAACTAGAATTATTGTTATTATTGTTTAGTGTTTATTAGTTTTTTTTTAATTTCATTTATTTATTTTTGAGACAGAGTCTCACTATGTCACCCTCGGTAGAGTGCTGTGACGTCACAGCTCGCAGCAACCTCCAATTCTTGGACTTCAACAATTCTCTCGCCTCAGCCTCCAAAGTAGCTTTGGGATTAAGGGCACCCTCCACAACGCCCAGCTATTTTTGTTGTTGTTGCAGTTGTCATTGTTGTTTAGCTGGCCCAGGCTGGATTCTAACCAGAAGGACTTAAAAAGAAATAAGTGAAAAGTAAAGATACCCTTTCATCCTTCAACACCCCATCTCCAGTTTCCCCATGTTGACAGCTTGGTTAATTAGATACACTTATTGCAGTTGATAACTCAGTACTGATACACTGTTAATAACTAAAGTTTCCGTTAGAGTTCATTAGCTTTTACATTGTACATTCTCTGTACAACTGGCCAGTGTATACTGACCTGTGTCTTTCCTCACTGTATCACATGGAGTAGTTTCACTGCCCTAAAACTCCCCTGTGCTCCACCCATTCTTTCTTCCCTCGCTCCCCCTGTATCACTGACAAACACTGATCTTTTTATTCCACAGTTCTGCCTTTTTGAGAACATCCTATGGTTGGAATTCAGCTGTACTTTTTATAATAATTGACTGGGTTTAGCTCTTTTTATTTGTGTGTATAGGCAGTTGCACAGAGTGTGGTAGTTTATAATTTTAGCTGATTAAGATTTATTAAAATGTTACTTTGGATTTGCGTGGAAAACTATTAGAAAATAGGAATCCAGACTGTTGTGAATAAACAAAAAATAAATAATAGTAAAGCTCATAGGGATGTGTTTTGGGTTTAGTGATAGGAAATAATTCCCAGGCGATCTTTCTGTTGCAGGGGGAAAGATGTCTATGGATGTGACATTTCTGGGGACTGGCGCAGCGTACCCATCTCCAACCCGGGGTGCCTCTGCTGTGGTCCTTCGGTGTGAAGGCGAGTGCTGGCTCTTTGACTGTGGGGAAGGAACACAGACACAGCTTATGAAAAGCCAACTTAAAGCAGGTTAGTGTGCCTTCAGCTTTCTCATGAAGATTGTCTTTGGTCTGCTTTATTTTCTTGGCACTCTTTGGGCCTTTTGTTCAGAAACAGCCCTGACAGTTGTATCAGACACTTGGAAAGCCTTTGGGCATCTGGCCATTCCCACCAAACTTCATTACCTTATTTATTTGCTTTTCATTCATCCTGGAAATGTTGAGAGCAAGGATTTACATAGGCTTGGCGAGTGGAGGCTGGAGTGGGACACATCAGGCATGTAAGATAGACACTGCCCAGCAAAGGAGCAGTGTACGTGGTTATTTTCATCAGAACATAGCTGCCGTGAGGGCATGCAAAGGGTGGCAAATGTTCAGAGGAGGGAGATGCACGTTTCTATTTGGGCTTTCAGGGTAAGCATCACAGAGAGGTTCCTGTGAGTTGTTTAAAGGAAGAGGAGGCATTCTCTGGGCTGGGGAGAAGAAGGGCATTATAGCCAGAGAGAAATGAGTAAGCAGAAGCCGGCATCTGGGATCCAGAAGGCTCTAATGGAGAAAAGCCTCAGTCCTGAGTCAGACAGACCTGGGTTTCAGTTTCAGCCATGTCTTTGGCTTGTGACCTTATCACGCACTTTACTTTCCTCATCTCGAAATGGGAATAAAAACTCTATGTAGAAAGAATATCATGGCTGGGCGCAGTGGCTCACACCTATAATCCTAGCAGTCTGGGAGGGTGAGGAAGAAGGATCACTTGAGGCCCGTAGTTCAAGACTAGCCTAAGCTAGAGTAAGATCCTATCTCTACAAAAAATAGAAAAATTAGCCAGGTGTAGTGACACACACCTATAGTCCCAACTGCTTGTTAGGCTGATGGAGGAGGACAGCTGGAGGCCAGGAGTTCAAGGTCTCAGTGAGGTGTGAGGAAGCTGCTGCACTCTAGCCTCTAGACCAGGTGACAAAGTGAGATCCTGTCTCAAAAAAATAAAGGATGTCGTGAAAATTATATATAGTAATTTTTTTCCTGCACTATTGCCCTTTTTCTTTGGTAAGTCTTAGTTCAAATGCCATCTCCTTAGAGGTTTTTCCTGAATCTCCTGGGTTCCTCCCTCACTCCACTCATTCTTTTACTTCCTCCTATTTTTATTGACTTCTTAGTGTCATCAGTGTCTGGAATTATGCTATTTAAGTAGTTTACTTCCGTGTTCTCTATCTCCCTGTTCTATAAAGTAAGTTCAGTTGACCGTTTATGTACCCAGTAGATGCCTAGTAAATGTCTGTTCAGTTAGTGAATAGATAAGACATTTAGCGGCTTAGTATAGTGCCTCTCACTTACTAGACCTCCATAAATAGTAGTTACTGAAATCATTATTCTTACCCTTCATCATGGTACCTGGCACTTGACAACTAAAGGAAAGATAAGGCTGGATGTGGTGGCTCACGCCTGTAATCCTAGCATTCTGGGAGGCCAAGGCAGGCGGATCCCTTGAGCTCATGAGTTCAAGACCAGCCTGAGCAAAAGCAAGACCTCTAAAAATAGAAAAACTGAGGCAGGAGGATCGCTTGAGCCCAAGAGTTGGAGGTTGCTGTGACACCACGGCATTCTACCTAGGGTGACAACATGAGACTCTGTCTCAAAAATATAAAGGAAGGGAGGGAGAGAAGAAGGAAGGAAGGATACTTCTAGTGTCTAAGGATCTCTTGATCTAGTGATGGAAACTGACACAAAACAGTCTTCAACATGTGATTTGCTAAGTGGAACAGTGGAGGTGTTTTCTAAATAGTTTTGGAGCACCAGGAAGAGGGACACTAACTGTGCTGGACATGAAGAGAAAGCATTTCAGAGATGGTAACAGTAGAGCCAGGATCCAAGAGATAAATAGAAGTTTTTGTGGGGAGAAAAGTAGGGATGGACATTGAAGGAGAGACAAGGAACAAGTGAGGCAGTTCCCAGGAAAGAGCGGCGTGTTCGGGGAACACCAAGTGCTTGGCTAGGCTGGATGGGACTGCGGATGCTGAAAAGGAGTGTTCAGTCCTCTGAACAGTACGGTGTTGGAACCTTATTGTTAGCATGGTAAGGTGTTGGAACCTTATTATTCTACTGGCAGTAAGGAACCATGAAATGTTTTCAAGTAAGAGAATGATGTGAACTGCTTTGTGTTTTAGGACAGAGTTTTCTGATGGCACATGTATTAAGAGAGGGAGTAGCACCAAGGAGATTAGTTCCAAGGTGGTTGCAATTCATTAGAGAGAGTGAGAGAGAAAGAATATGAATGAGGATGTTGAAGCCAGAAGTAGTGATAGGGATAGAGATGAGATACTCAATTTTAAAAGTACTTGGAGCACCCCCGCTTCCCTGTGGTGACTAATTGAATATCTAGTGTGTGAGGAAGTGAAGAATTATTACAAATTTCTGATGGTGATGTCCTGGACCTAGGTAGGGAGTGACCTTAGCACAAACTTTTACTTTCCTCACCTCGAAAATGGGAATAAAAACAATATGTAGAAAGAATGTCATGGCTGGGTGTTAGGAGAAGAGTGGTTGGAGGAAGGAGCTGATGCGTATTGTTTGGGACATGTGGCTTTGAAGTGTACACACAGTTCACCCTTAAATATATACTTCCTGTGTTGAAACCCTAAAGTAAGTCAGGTACTACGCTTTACTTTTCTTGAATCACATGGATCCAGATTCTTTTCATGAGAGCCTGCAGGGAAGCATGGGCCAGAATAGAGGCTGTGATGTTTAACCTTTTAGACACCAGCTGTTGAGGTAGCAGGGTGGATGAAAATAGAAACAAGAAATTATTAAGTGTGAGTACCAGAGGTTTGGGTATGGAGATAAGCCTTTACTTTTTATTTACTTACCTGTCCCAGTTATCTAATACTGTATAACAGATTATAGACTGAGCAGTTAATTTGCCTTTTTTTTTTTGAGATAGAGTCTCACTTTCTCACACTTGGTAGTGCTGTGGCATCATATTTCACAGCAACCTCAAAGTCTTGGGCTCAAGTGATCCTCTTGCCTCAGCCTCCCAAGTAGCTGGGACTATGGGTGCCCACTACAATGCCTGGTTACTTTTAGAGATGGGATCTCATTCTTGCTCAGGATGGTCTTGAACTTGTGAGCTCAGACAATCCACCCTCCTCAGCCTCCCAGAGTACTAGGATAATAGGCGTGAGCTGCTGTACATGGCCTTATTTGCATTTATTATCTCCTAGCTTCTGTGGGCTATAGGGAGTTGGGGCTTGGCTTAGCTGGGCTCTGTGCTTCAGGGCCTCACCAGGCTGCACCCAGGTGTTGGCTAGGGTTACACTCTCATCAGAGCCTCAACTGGGGAAGATTCTGCTTCTAAGCTCACCCTGATTGTTGGCAGAATGGTGGTAGGACAGCCTGCTCTGGGCTCCTGGAGGCCTTTGCCATGTGGGTGTCTGTTTCATGGTGCCTTGCTTCCTCACAGCCAGCAAGGCAGAAAGACTCTAGAGCAGCGGTTCTCAACCTGTGGGTCACCACCCACAGGAACTGTATTAAGGGCCGTGGTATTAGAAGGGTTGAGAACCACTGCTCTAGGGCACGTGTACTAGCAAGATGGAGTCTTATACACTGTAATATAGTCACATTGCATCCCTGAGCCTTGTTTTACTAGTTAGAAGCAAGTCAGAAGTCCTAGCCACACTCGTCTGGAGGACGTGAAAACCGGGAGTCACGGAGGACGACCTCAAGTCTGTCCATGACAAAATGTTGTATATTTTATACCTCCTTTATGTTTTAAATAAGAAAAGCTAATTTGGCAACAAAAAAACAAAATGCCCAAGGGAACCTTTCGTTACTACATTTCTGTTGCTTTAGGAAAAAAAATTCCTGCCCTCAGAGAGGAATGTGGGCTGAGAATCTCAAAGCATTATCAATGTCTGTAGTATTTCAAATGCCCCCAGTCTCAAACTCAAATGCAGCATGATACTCCTCGGTACTCCTGGTTTCTCTTAATAACCTGTTATGTCCCTATTATTATTGGATTCATTACTACCTCCTAGAGTAATATGTTTTATCTGTTTCATAAGAAGTTTCTATTTATTAAACATACTTCTTTCAAGCTCCTATGGTCCCAATTAATATGCAAATATCTGATTAACAAATGCAGATTTGACATCTCCATTTCTTGCATAATTTTAAAGATTGAGCTTTTAGCCTTCTTTTTCTCCTCAAAAATGGTAATGAAATGATTATTAAAAGTATTACAAAAGCATGCTTTTTAAAATGATTATTAAAAGTATATATATATATATGTATATATGCTCATTATAAAAGTTGAAACCAAACGGGAAAATATAAATAAGCAAAGTTCAAGCCCTCCCCATAGATCAGTACATTTTCTATACATATACATATGGTAATAGTATGGGGAGGTGTAGTTAGGTGTAAACAGAATCACATTTCTCTTCGCATAACCTGCTTTTTTTTTCTTTTCTTTTCTTTTTTTTTTTTTTTTGAGACAGAGTCTCAAGCTGTTGCCCTGGGTAGAGTGCTATGGCATCACAGCTCACAGCAACCTCCAAATCTTTGACTTAAGTGATTCTCTTGCCTCAGCCTCCCAAGTAGCTGGGACTACAGATGCTCACCACAACGCCCGGCTGTTTTTTGGTTGTAGCTGTCATTGTTGTTTGGCGGGCCTGGGCTGGATTTGAACTTGCCAGCTCATGTGTATGTGGCTGGTGCCCCAGCTGCTTGAGCTACAGATGTCAAGCCAACCTGCTTTTTTTTCAACTGAAGACTATATACAAAGAATATATTGAAGTTTTTGTCCTATAGCAGTAAATATACTTGTACCATTTTTTAAATTCCACTAATTTTTTTTTTGAGGCAGAGCCTCAAGCTATCCCCCTGGGTAGAGTGCCATGGCATCACAGCTCACAGCAACCTCCAACTCCTGGGCTCAAGCGAGTCTCCT